GGGAGGGCAGGGTGTGCGTCCGCCTGCCCGGTGTCGGCGTCGTGAGGAGCTGGGACACCGCCAGCCTCCAGGCCCTGCGGAGGGGCTTTGCAGGCAAGCGCCGGGCGGAGAGACCGCCGCCCCTGTGTGCTGTGGGCCTCGGTCCTGCTCGGGGCCTTCTGCCCGGGGACGGGACTCCCGGGGGGTCGCTGTCCTGGAACCACGTAGGGCTTTTTGTTCCCCCTGCAGAGGTGTCTCTGACCATGCACAGTGTGTGTTGAAGTGATGTGTCCCCGTACACTCCCAGCTCAGGCACCGGTGCTCCTGCTGTGTGCCTCTTGTGACCTGTTCTGGTGTCTGTGAGTGGCCCTTGCTGTGGCTGTGTCCTCCCAGGGGCTTGTTCTAGTGTTATTTTACATACAGGAGGCAGCCAGGGAATGTACTCAGTTGTTTTACTGATGGGGAGGCCAAAAAGGAGTCTCTGAAGCTGGCCTGAGTTGAGGGTTCTTGGGAAAGGCAAGGATAGGGGCCCTGTTTTCCTGCCTCTCTACCCCATGCTGGCCCTCACTGGGATTTCTTCAGCAGCTTGTACTGGGTAGAGCCCCTGACTGGTGGCTGTGCCATTGGTAACCTCTCTCAGCACTGACCAGAAGTTAACTCTTAACGCTGACGCTGGTTCCTGGCCTTTTGGAGTCTAGACTCACGCGTAGCCGATCGGAATATCCATGTTCTTGAATAAAGAGTTTGGGACTTGCCAAGTTCAGCATAGTGATGGATGGGTGCACTGGGAAGTGTAGGCAAGGAGGCAGTCGCTGTAATACAACGCAGGTGTAGAGTGTGAAAACACTGAGGGTTTGGAGTGGCTGGCAGAGATTTTGCTTTTATTTTATCATGAGTTCTCAGGTGGAAACTTTGTAGGTGAAATCTGAAATTGGCTCAGTCTGTTTCTCCCTGTTACAACAGGAGATGCTGTTCTTGTGAATACTGCTTTCAAGTTTAACAATTCCCCGGTTTCTAAGTGTTTAAATTCTCCCCTGCTTGCTTCCATAGCTGACTTTGATGAATCTAAGTCCCCCAGCACAGAACAGCTGGATACGCTGAGAGAGTTTGCTGGAATCGCTGCCGGAGCCTCAGCTCCCGAGAGCCTTGCTACTCTTGCCTTTCTTTATATGTGCCTGGCAATTTCAGCTAAGTATGGGTAAGGCTATCTTCCTGCCCCAAAATAAACATGCTGTCGTGAGTGTTCGCTGTTAATTGCTTCTGCAGGGTCATGGGAAGACACCAAATCTTTGAGGGAAAATAAGGAATTACAAGGAATCTCACTTTATTTAGGTTCTGAGCACCACAGAGCTGAGCTGTTTGGTGGGTTGGCTGCCCCAAGCAGGTGGTTTGGGAATCATCTGCTCTCGTTTAGGCATCTAGCTTTGAGGTGCTTAAGTCAGAGCTGTTCATCCCACCCTTCCTGCACAGTCAGCAGAAGCAGACACAGACATCCCTCCCTGCAGCAGGCAGCTCACTTCATCCTGGCTCATGTTAGAAAAACTGCTAAGGAAGTGAGCTGTGAATTCATTGTCTGAGCTAAATCTGATCCCTCTCTTGGGCTGAAAGATGAGGAGAGATGAGAATTTGGGGTAACCACAGCTCAGGGCTGTTCCAGTGTCTAAAGTTGACCAACATGGTTGATGATGTCAGTGTAAGTTACTGGACAGGTGCTCAGGACAGTGTCCGGTACAGCACTGCCTGCTGTGCTAAACCAAGCCAGAACCCGACTTCAATATTCATAGCAAAGAAATCAAAGGTTGAAGAACTATGATGTGGAGCTGCATGGCATTTGGCTTTGCAGTCTCGGAGTTGCTCGGTGAGAGCGCCGGGGCTGTCATCAGCCTGCTCTGAAACTGTCAGCTCATACTCCCGTCACTCACCAGCCAGGGAAAAGCTCCTGGGTTTGATGTTAGGGTCTGTAACACAACCTGGGTGCGTTCGGGGGAGAACAGGGACACGTGGGCACGGATATGCACGCAGTTTCCTCTTCCCCGTCGGCTTGTCGCTCCAGTGGGATGGAACTATGCTGTTAAGCATTTGGGATATTTACACTTAGAAATACATTTAAAATCATGTTTACAACAATCTTTGAAGGGTCTCCTTATGGTACTACTCAAGTATTGAGTTACTAAGTGCCCCTGCTAGCAGTTTGCTGAGCCGTGCTAATCCTAGATCCGGTTCAGCCAGGCTTTGCTCCGGCACAATGGCTTAGCAAGGCTGCGCTGACCGGGCGCTCGTGGAGCCTGTGTGTGGCAGATGCTGTTGTTGCTCGTTTTCAACCAGCTTTTCCTGTGACCAGTCCTCATTGTCCTTTGAAATGTTGTCTCAAGGTGGAATTCAAGGTCGTTGTGCCGGATCCTGTGTGTTTTGTGTTTCAGAGATGTTCCGAGTGTGGACGTACTGGTGTGGTCTGAGCTGCCCACGGGAGCCGGGTTGGGTTCAAGTGCCGCCTATGCCGTTTGCTTGGCGGCGGCCCTGCTGTCGGCGTGCGGAGCCGTCTCGTGCCCGCTGAAGGAGGGAGACTCCACAGCCAGGTAACGCATCGGGCAAGCCTCCCCGCTTTGCACACACGCCCGTGGCAGCTCTGCTCTCTGTGCCCCTCTCTTTTCCTTCTACCTGCGCGGATTCTGGCGCTGGCACCTCTCTTGGTCCCTGGGCAGCTCCTGGGCTGTGACACCCTGGGCCGAGCTCCTTTCACTTCCTCTCCTACTGCTGCCCTGTGTTCCCCGCAGCGGAGACGTGTTCAAGGCTCTGAACTGTGAATCATGTGTTTATGCTTCGCTTCTCCTGATAAAAGCAACTGGATGCAGAGACTTCGTAAAACTTTGGCTAGACAAGAGAAATGGTGCAAGATACACATCAGAGATTTCATAAAACTTGCACCGTTTCCCTTGGCTAGTGTAAGATACATATACTTTAAAAAAAAGGAAAAAAGCTCTATGTTGCCAAGCAAATAAAACACTAAGGTGGCACATTTTTTTTAACCTGTTTCCTGAGGTCCCTGAGCATCATCCAGGTTTTGCTTTGAGTCCTCACAGGGTTGAGGCTCCTTTCTGCTTTTTCTGCATTTTCACGTGATGTTTTTTTCTGCGTGTACTACATTTCCTCCTGATCTCCTACCTGAGTTTCCCCTTTATCAGTGGCTGGTGAAAGCCAGTTTCTTTGCTTTCTGCCCTTGGGTTGCTTTCCCTTGGAGTTCAGTCTTGAAAAACTGGTCTGCTCTGCCGTGTGTCTGCGGAGGCTCTGTTTAAAGATGCATATCACAGCTGGAGCAGAACCCTCTATTGTTCCTTCTGTGCCAGGTGCAACCTTTTATGGTTGGCTTCTGCGGTTTTTGTGTGGGACTGAGACAGCAAGAGGGGGTGACTGGGTTCTGCTTCAAAAACAGAGTTTGCAGCCTGACCCAGAAACCCGTTCCTAGAGCAGAGCACTTTGTGTGCCATGCTCAGGCAAGTCTCCCAGATAGTCACGCGGCACAAGAAACGACAGGCCAGTTCCAAACCAGGCAGCGAGGGTGTCTTCATTCCCTCCTCACACTTCGTAGCTTCAGCCTGAATACAGCGTAAGGGTGTTTTTTTCCCTTCCAGCTGGCGTGCAGAGGGGTAAGTGAGAGATGGGGGTGTCAGACTTCAGAAGGTTTTTGCTTAACGTCGCAAGAAAAGAACAGCGTGATATAATGGCTCCTGTGTAGAGAAGAATCGCAGCCTCTCAAAGAGGATTAAAAACCAGTGGTTTACAGCAAACTGCGCTTCTATTTTGAGTAGCGGTGGTGTGAGCTGTTTTCCTGAATGCTTCACAGATTAAATATTGGCAAGTGAAGTGAAAGGTGTGTGCTGATGGATAAAGACTTTCAGCTGAGGCCCGGGGAAGCGGGGAGTTAAAGGAAGCAGCTTCCACATAGCAGGTTGCTCTCGGAACTTCCGCCTTGCCTTAGCAGTGGTCAGTGACTGTTCTTACTATTTCATTTGTGACTCTATGATGCTTTTCCAAAATCCCTATTTGTGCCTCTGCTCTATCGTGTAATACCCTGTTCTGGGGCCCGTGTTCTAAAAACGCGTTGAACGCACGTGCTTGCTGCACCGACGGCCAGCTCTGATCTCTGCAGAGCGTCACGGATGCTGGGGCATCCGGTGCTGCTGGAAACCCCAGCAGTGGCTTGGAGAGTGCACTCTCTGTCTGGGCTGCAGAGCGGGGAGCGCTGCGTTGCAGGGGAGCAGCAGGGATGTGTGTTTGGGTGCCAGTGTAAGCCTAAGGGTGTTCCAGCAGGGTGCGGGAGGGCTGGCTGGCTCCCTGGGGGCGTTGAGATAGCCCCTCGGGCTGTCAGGGTTTGAGGTGGTCCTTCAGCGTGGAGTGGGTTTGACGTAGCCTGATGAGTGCCGAAGGGGGTTGTGTGGGTCCATGCCTTGCAAAAGCAGGCCCAGAGCAGGGGGGGTTTGCGTGGCGCTGGGGGGG